CACACACACACGCGCACACACACACGCCCTCCCCCTCATCCCCGCCCCGCCACATCTCCACAATGCCTGGAGGCTGGTGGCCGGGCGAGGCCGACCCGGGCATCGAGCTACGCACAGTGTCACCGCCGCCCAGGCCGGAAGTCCGCGACGTGGACGACGGGGAGACTTCCGACACGCCGGCCGAGGCGGCGGATCCGTGCGACAGCCGGCCCACCGAGCACCACGGCCCGAGCATTCCCCCAACAGACCCGGCCCCCCGGGGGATCCTCAAGCGCGCGGCGCCCGGGTCGCTGGCCTCCTCGGAGGGCCTCCCCTGGGCCGGGCCCGGGATGCCGGCGTTCGCGGCCGAGTCGCACGGCTCGCACGGGGACCCGCATGGGAACCGGCCCAGGGACCGGCAGGGCGATCGCCAGGGCAGCCTCGCCAGCGCCTCCAGCGACCATGTGGCCGGGGCATCGAGCGAGGCGGTGGCCAGCGCGTCGAGTGGCACGCTGGCCGGCGGCCGGCCGGCCGGGCTGGACCACCGCATCGCCTCCATCTTCACCTGGGTGGCGGACACCTTCAGCCTGCATGACTTCATCGAGATCGAGCATGTCCCGGTGGAGGATTTCCCCTTCGCGGGGCTGGCGGCCGCCGGGTCCAGCTCCGGGTCCGAATCCGGCTGGGCCCCGGGGCCGCAGTCGCCGGCCAGCGAGGTCGACGCGTATGCCCGGTCGCCGGGGCATGTGGCCCCGGTGCCCGGGGACCTCCGCCGGGGGTCCATGCAGCAGCCGCCGCGGCCGCCGCTGGCCGCCGGCCGTGCGGCGGCCCACCACAACCGGCGGTCCTCCACCCCCTCGACGGTGCCGCACCTGGAGGGCCGGCGGTACTCGCTGTCGGCCGGGGGCCGGCATGACCGCCAGGCCCCGGGGCCCGGGGCCACGATGGTGGTGGCCGGGCCGCCGGCCACGCCGGACCGCTCGACCTCGCCGGCCCCCGGGCTGACGGTCCTCTCGGCCACGGCCCCGGGCGGGCGTCTTGCCACCGCCGGCAGCCTGCTGGCCGGGCCGGCCAGCGGGGTGGCCGCCCCCGGGCCGCTGCTCACGGTGCGGCCCTACTCCCCGGTGCGTGTGCAGCGGGCCGGCCCGCGGCATGCGCCCTTCATCGGCGAGGCGGAGTTCCGCATGCCGTCGACATTGGCCCCACTGGCCCGGCCGGCCCTCAGTGCCAGTGTCCTGTCCATGGCCGGTGGCGAGGGGGCCTCCCCGCCGCCGGGGGCCTATTGGCCGGGGGGGTCCCCGTCACCGAGGCCGGCGCCGGCGGATGGCGGCCCGTCGGCCCTGGGCATGGGCCACGGGTCGGCGGTTTCCTCGCCAGCATTGTCGCCGTCCTCATCGAGCCCGGGCGCGGTGTGCTCCTCGGCCTCCTCCTGCTCTTCCTCGGCCTCGGCCTCCTCCTCCTCCTCCTCCTCCTCCTCCTCCTCCTCCTCCTCCTCCTCGGCCTTGGGCTCCCTGCCGAGCCCATCGTCGATGGAGGCCTCTTCCGCGGGGTCCGGCCGGTCGGCCTGGGCGTCGGGCGAGCTGCACCCGGCGCCGGGGGTCCCGCTGCCGGCGGCCACCCGGCCGCGCATCCGCATCCGCCTGAGCCGGCGCCCGGAGGGGGACCTGGCCGATCCGTACCTCCGGCCGCCGACCGTGCATGGGCCCGGGTCCGCGGCCCACGGGCCGACCTCCGGCGTCCGGGCCCTGCGGTCCAGCCACCTTCGCTTGGCCAGTCGGTCGGGGTCCTACGCCGGGTCGTGCGACTCGGCGGTCCTGGTGGTGACGCCGGTGGACCTGTTCTTCCTCGGGCGCAAGTGGCAGTCCCCCGGGGACAAGCGCCGGGAGCGGCGTCTCGTCCGGCAGCTGGACACGTCGCGCCCGGCGCGACTCGTCGCCCGGCCGGGCCAGGCCACCCCGGCCGCCGTCGACACCACCCCCCCGGATGTGACGCGCGACCTGGCGGACGGGTTGCCGGCCGTGCCGAGCCTGGCCGCCACCCCTGGCGGGCCTGCCGACCGGGTTCCCTCCCTGGCGGCGGATGCCGCCCCCTTGCCCGGGCCTGCTGCCACCATTACGGCGATCCCGGTGGCCGATCGGCGGGGGTTCTCCGCCGGCGCCGGCGGCTTGACCATCCACACGGCCGGGTCGCCGAGCACCGCCGGCCCGGCCAGCCCCCTGGCCATGCGCACGCTCACCGGCACGACCACCTCGGCCGACTCGGCCCCGGTGTCGCCGGTCAACCCGGACATTGACATCGCCTCCTTTTTCGGCACCTGGAGCCCGGGGGACCTGGACCCCGATGAGGAAGAGGAGGAGGAGGAGGACGACGACGACGAGGAAGACGACGAGGAGGATGACGAGGAGGACGGCGAGGAGGATGACGCTGACCCGAGCGGCCCCCTGGGCGCCGGGAGCATCACACCCCCGACCGATGGCGGCTCCACCTCACTTGCCTCGCCCTCGTCGGCCCCGCAGTCGGCGGCCGAGCAGGGCGCCGGGGTGGTCGCCGCCCCGCCGCCAGCTGCATTGCGCGTGCGCTCTCCCCGCCTGGCTCCCGCCCGGACGCGGTGCGTTCTCTTGCTGCTCCCTGCTGCTCCCTGCTGCTCCCTGCTGCTCCCTGCTGCTCCCTCTCTCCCGCCGCCGCGCGCGTGAGCGCCTGCACACACGCCTGCACACATATCCTCACATATCCTCACATCTACACCCACACCCCCAAATGCGCACGTCCATGCTCACCTTCGCACCTCCTCGGGACGCGGCATGCCGCCACGACAGGGTGAGCCATCCGCAGTTTGCGGCCGGGCCATTGCCCGGCGGCCCGACGGACCGGCCGGCACCGAGCCTGGTGGCCGGGGCCCGCGCGGCGGCGCTACTCGGCGCCCGGCGATCCTCCTGGGCGCCCGTGCTGCTGGACATGAATGCGCGCAATGCCCGCGGGGGCATTCACAACAAGGATTCCTGGGCACCACGGGCGGCCGGCGGGGGCCCGGTTACGGCGGCCCCGGCGCCGGGCTTCGGCCCGAATGACCTGGCCGCCTCGTCGTCGCGCGGGGGCCTCGCCTCGTCGGGCGGGCCTTCGCCCCAGCCCGGCGGGCTGGCGGGGTCCGTGGGCGACGGCCCGGCCGGGCCCGGGCTGCTGGACGCCAGCTCCTCGGGGGATGCCCTGCCGGGGCCCGGGTCCGGGGGTCCTTCGCCCAGTCGGTTTTCCTGGCGCGGGCGTCCGGCATCGATGGTCGGGCGCCCGGTCGAGGGGGCGGACGCCCAGCGGCCCGGTCGGGGGACCGGCGGCCCGGCCTCCGCCGGCACGGTGCCCGGCCCCGGGCGAGCCGCCCTCGGGCCGACCCGGCGGCGGTCCACCATCACGTCGGTCTTTCGCCGGCCGCGCACGCGCTCCGGCTCGGACTCCGACCAGTCGGTGGATGTGGGTGCTTCTGGCGACCTGCGATCCTGGCATGCCTCCTCGTCGCCCTCGCCGAGCGGGTCCTTCGGGTCTTCCTCCGGGGCGTCGGCCGTGGAGGATGCCGAGGGGGCCGGGCTCCGGGTGCGGCCGAGCTCCCCGCCGCCGCCGCCGGCGCCGCCGCCGCCGGCGGGCCCGGAGGCGGCCGACTTGCCCGAAGCCTCGGCCCCGGATGCGGCGCCCGGCATGGGGCTCGCCCCCGGGGCCGGTGCCGTGGCCGGCGTGGCGGCGATCACCATGGCCGAGGGCACGGCCGCGACACCCGCCCTGCAGGCGGCCGCCTCCCCGGGGCCGGCCGGGCCCGTTGTGGTGGTGGCCCCGAGCGCCGACCCGGGCCGGGTCGATGGCATCGGCGCCACGGTGGCCGGGCCCCCCTCCCCGAGCCAGGCTCCCGGGGCCCTCCGACGGAATACCTACTCCACGTCGGCCCCGTCGTCGGGGCTGTCCTCGGCGAGCCTCTCGCTGCCGGGGTTCCGCCGGCAGCGCTCCGACCAGTCGGTGGCTTCCTCCATGGCCGAGGGGCCGGCGTCGTCCGGCCGGCGGCCCGGCACCCGGCGGCGCTCCCAAGCCAAGGACATGTCCCCCTCCAGCCGGCCGTCCATCGCGGCCGTGGTCATTTGGGTGAATGCCCTGCTGATCACCATCGGCGTGGCGGTCATCGTCACCGTGGCCCTGGTCGGCTCCAGCCGGTACATGCTCGCATGCCTCGCTCTCTTTGCACCGGCCACCGGCCGCTCCCCCTTCCCAGCTAACCCGCCTCGCCGGTCGCGCCGCAGCGAGACCACCTCCACCATCCGCTCGCTGGCCAACCAGCTGGCCAGCCGGGCCCAGATCAATCTGGACCTGGCGCTTGACAATGCCGAGGCCCTGAGCTCCGTGCACTTGCCCTACTTCCTGCACTTTGGCCACACGCCGGCCGACTGCCAGCGTGCCTCGCGACCGCTGCTCTACTCCATGCAGCATGAGTCCCTGCTGGTCAGCATGGTCCACCTGTCGGACGGGCTGGTGCGTGCATGGGTCTCCCGTCGTGGGGGGGGGGGGGGGGGGGGGGGGGGGGGGCCTGTAGCCCCTCTCTCCGTGCCCCTTTCTTCGCTTTCTCTTTGCCGCCCTCCCGGCCGCCATCGCTCCGCCCACCTTCCCCTCACCAGCCCCACACCGATGATCACATCTGCCCCCCCCCCCCCTCCTTTCTCCCTGCGGCTGGGCGGCCCGGCTGCCGCAGGGGAGTTTCTGCGGCGCCTCGCGCGCTGGCACCTCGCCCAAAGACGACCTCGGGGTCCGAGTCACCCGCATGCAGCCTCCGGCCGGGGACCCCACCGGCCCGGCCACCATGCAGCTGCAGGAGTTCCTCCACCATCCGGAAGCGTGCTCCCTGTCGGACTTCTCCTGCCCGGTGTTCGACTACCCGCCGCCGCTCGGGCGGGGCCCGGAGTTCTCCCGCTCGTATGACCCCCGCACGCGGAGCTGGTTTCAGGCGGTACGCCGGCTGGCCCTTCCCGAAGGGCTTTCCTGCTGGCTTTTGCCCTCTGCCTCTCGCGGTTGACTGACACCCGATGCCCCCCCCCCCCCTCCCTCCTGTGCGCATCTGCCCGCCAGGCTGCCGCCACCACCGGGCCCGTGTGGTCGGATATCTACCTCTACTCGTCGTACCACCGCCTGGGATTCACGGTTCGTGGCTACTGTGTTGGGGTCCTCCCCTGCTGCTCCCTCTCTTCCTCCCTCTCTCTCTCTCTCTCTCTCTCCCTCTCCCCCGTCTCAGCTCATCCCCTGCCGACACCGGGACTCACCCATCACCGGGTCTCGCCCACCACCGGCCCCGGGCTGCCTGCCGGACGCACACGCTAGACCGCCCTCCGGGCGGTGCCCCTCGACAGTGCGGCACCCAGGCCGGCCAATCACCCGGTCATCATGTCGACGGACGTTTCGCTGGCCGAGTTGTCCACCTCCCTGCGCAAGCTCCTGACCGAGGTCCAAAGCCAAGGGGACATGGCCTCCTTGGGGGTCGTGTCGAATGGCGCACACCTGACCCGACGCTCGGCCCTGACCCGGATGGCCGATGCGCTAGACCGGCTGTGGCCTGGCCGTCGGGCCGGCGCTGCCACCGCCTCGCCCACAACCGGGGATCTCGGCGCGCCGACACTCTTGCTCCTGGATGCGAAGGGCTTCCTGGTCGGGGTGGCCTTGAGCGAGAGCCACCTCGAGAGCGCGGTCTCCGGATCGGGCTCCGGCGAGCAGGTAAAGCTGGTCAAGACCCCGGCCGAAGGTGCGTGTTTTTTCCTCTCCCTCTCTCTCTTTTTCTCTGTTTCTCTTTTTCTCTGTTTCTCTGTTTCTCTCTTTCTCTGTTTCTCTCTTTCTTTCTCTCCCTCCCTCCATCTCCCTCCCTCCATCTCCCTCCCTCCATCTCTCTCCCTCTCCCTCTCTCCCTTTTCTTCTCCCTTTCCACGGCGTGTGCGTGCGTGTGTCTCGACCGCCATACTCACCCCGCTGCTTGGCCCTCCCCATGGACAGGCTGCACGCACACTTGCTCGGTTCGTGACTGTTGCATGGTGCACTCGCAGGACAGCGACAATGCGCACATTCGCCTGATTGCGTCGTACCTGGTCGCCCGTGGTGTCATCCCCCCGGCGCCGACCGGCGCCCTGTCTGTGCCCGGCGCCCCGGATGCCGCTGCCAACGATGTCTCCTCCTCGCGGACCAGCCGTGTGACCTACTTCGAACCGGACGACCGGGTGCGTGCGCCGCGGCCCTGTCGCCTCTGTGGGCTTGCCATGCCGACATGCCTTCTCCTTTGGCCCCCCTGCTGACCCTGATGCGCCCGCCGGCACATGGACCTGCAGCTGTCCATCGCCCACCTGCAGTATCACCGCGGCTCGAACCTCCGGTGGCGCATCGTGGCGGCCTTCGACCGGCAGCAGCTGACCCTGGCCCTGGCCCGGCGCTATGGCACCATCGTCTCGGTGGTGGCGGTGCTGCTGCTGCTGCTGTCGGTCTTCTTGTCGATCCTGCTGAATCGCTTCCTGACCAAGTGCGTCGCATGCCGCCGCATCTCTTTGTCTCTCCCTTTCCCTCTCTCTGTGTGTGTCTCTCCTCCCACCCAGACGACTGCGAGGCTCACCATCCCGCTTTCCCCTCCCTCCCTCCCTCCCTCCCCCCGCACGGCCAGCCCCCTGCTGGCGGTGATCCGGCACCTAGAGGAGGTGGCCGCATTGCAGGAAAGCCCGCAGGTGGTCAAGCGGCGCTTCCGCCGGTTCTCCTTCTTCCCCACCTTCCGGTCGCTGTTCTCCTCCTCCGAGAAGATAGACGTGTCGCCCTCTGACGCCAGCCTCGCCACCGTTGGTCAGCCACGCCGGGCAGGCGGCTCCTCGTCACTGGTATCCTCCAGCCGGCTGGAGATCGAGGAGGTCAATGAGATCCGCGACGGTGCGTGCATTCGCTTCGCCACGCCACGCCTCGGCGGCCGCGTCCGTTGTTTTCTGCCCTGGGCGCGGGACATCGCCTCCGCGCTCCTCGCAGCTGTTGCCGCCGACTGACGCTCCGTGCCCCGACAAACTGCCGGCCGCTCTCTGCCTTTGGGGGGGGGGGGGGGTCTCGCCCGGCGGACAGCCCTCCTGTCCTTGCGCGTCGGGTTGATTTCCTTCCTTCGGTATGCCCCGCGGCAGGTGGTCACGCTGTTGGTCCGGGAAAACCGCCGGCCCATCCTCGGCGTCGATCCCACCGAGGTGACGGTCATGTTCTCGGACATCGCCAACTTCGCCGACCTGACGCAGGCCTTCGATGATGCCCATGTGGTGGAGCTTCTCCAGTGCGTGTGCACACACCCGCACGCACGCACGCACGCACGCACGCACGCACGCACACCTCGGGCTGCTTTTCGCCGGTGCCGCTCGCAACCCCTCACGCTGACACGCCCCCCCCCCCCGCCGCGCCCCTGGCCAGGCGCTACCTCTCCTCCACCATGAGCGTGGTCGTGGCCAATGAGGGGCTCATCGACAAGTTCATGACCGACGCGCTGATGGCCTTCTGGAATGCCCCGGAGCCGTATCCCTACCCGGATGGGCATGCGGCGGCCGCCTGCCGCGCCGCCCTCGAGGCCCTGAGCAAGATGGAGGCCGCCCGGGCCGACTGGGCGCTGGCCGGCCTGCCGCATGTGCAGGCGCGCTTCGGCCTGCACACCGGCATCTGCCTGGTGGGCAATCTCGGCTCGCGGAATCGGCTGAGCTTCACATGCATCGGGGACAATGTGAATCTGGCGTCCCGGCTGGAGGGCCTCAACCGGGTGTACGGCACATCCATCGTCCTGTCCGGGGCCACTCGGGCCCAAGTGCAGGGGTCCTTCGTGACTCGGGTGCTGGATAATGTCACGGTCAAGGGCAAGGCCCAGCCGGTGACCGTGTGCGAGCTGATCGGCCACAATGACGTGGTCAGTGCCAATGTGGCGGCCAGCATGCGCTCCTTCGACCAGGCCCTTCAGCTGATGACCCAGCGGCGCTTCGCCCAGGCGGCCGTCTTGCTGGAGGCCTTCCAGGCCCAGTACCCGGGGGATTTGGCCTGCCAGGAGCACCTGGCCCTGGCCCGGCGCCTGGCCGCCGACCCGCCCCCCGACGAGTGGGTCTTCCTCCGGAAGATGGACACCAAGTAGCGAAGTGCCGCCTCGGTGGCGTCCCCGTCCCCCGGTGGGGGGAGGCGTGGCCGGCTTGCGGTTTTGCTGCTCGGCCACGTCCATCGGCGCCGAGCCCCCTCGCCCTCCCTCCCCCCCCCTCTCTCTCTCTCTCTCTCCCCCATATAAACCTGTCCTTGTTTGCACATCCATCACCAGAGCCTTGATGGCCCCCTCGGCGCGCCCTGGCGAAGGCGTAGCGGGAGTGGCGCCCCGGCCCGAGCCAGGAGCCGGAGGACGGGGGGTCACACAGAACAGCGAGATCTATTGGGACAAGTGCGCCCCGATGGGGGGTGAGAAGGCTCTCGTGCAGGGACCGGCATGCCCGGTCGTGCGCGCTCGGGAGAGAGAGAGAGAGAGAGGGAAAGGGACAGGCGAGGCAAGGCCCATGCGAGGAAAGAGGCAGGCCGAGGGGGCAGAAGAGGCGGCGGGGCGGGGAAAAAGAAAAGCGCGGCCCCGGCCGCGGCCAGGCGCCCATCCTTGTGGAACTAGTAGAACGGGAAGCCGTAGCCACGGAATTGGACGACCGTCTCGCCGTCATGGTCCGCATGGCCATCGCCGGCCATGGGGTCGCTGTCGTCGTCGTCGTCGTCATCGTCGTCGTCGTCGTGGTCGTGGTCGTCATCGCCATGGCTGTGGTCATCGTCGCCATCGTCGCTGCTGGACCCGTCGCCATCGCGGCTGCCGGGGGTGCTGGAGCCGGAGCTGGAGACGATGCGCGTGGCCGGCGAGGGGGCCGCCGGGGCCGAGGCCGGCGCGCCGCCGACCGACACCGACCGCGCCGAGCTGGCCGCCACCGCCATGGGGGCCGCCGGGCTGGCCGGGCGCGAGGCGTCGGCCCCTGGCAGGGTGGCCCGCGCCGGGGCCGGACTCGAAGGGGGTGACCGGGGGTCCGGCGTGCTGGCGGCCGATGGCTTGGCCGGGGCGCTGCCGGCCGCCGGGCCCTTGCCGCCGGTCGAGGGCTTCGACGGGAGGAGGGCGCTGATGTCCGGCAGCGGCTGGCGCCAGTAGTGGAAGTCGTTGAATGCCGGCTTCGGGGGCTCCTCCGGCAGGTCGAGCAGCTCGTCGGGCGAGCTTTCCACCGAGATCCCATCATCCGGCAGGGAGTCGCCCGGCTTGTGGGCCGGGCGCTGCAATGTCAGGCGGCGCTTCCGGCGGATGACAATCGGCGGGAACATCTGGTCCACGATGTCATTGATGTCGGAATAGCTGCAAGTGCGAGAGTGGGCAGGCGGACGGGCGGGGGGTCGTCAGAGCCACAGGATGGGCCAGGCGGGAGGTGGCAAGGGGCACCGAACGCACGTCGACCGGTAGGTTTCGACCAGCTCCAGACGGATGTTGCCACTGGGGTTGATTGTGAAAATGCGTTCGATCGGCACCATGACAGACTGGTAGCTCAGGGCGTCCTGCACGGCGGGGACGGTGGGACGGAGGGCGGCGGTGTCAAAACCGGTCAGCGCTGTGTGTGTACGCGATGGAAGAGGATGGGGGGTAGGGGAGAGGGGGTAGAGGGCTGGAAAGGAAAAGAGGGAAAGAAGGGAAAAGAGGGAAAGAAGGGAAAAGAGGGAAAGAAGGGAAAAGAGGGAAAGAGGGGAAGAGAGGGAAGGAAGGGAAAAGAGGGAAAGAAGGGAAAAGAGGGAAGGAAAGGAAAGAAGGAAAAGAGGGAAAGAAGAGAAAAGAGGGAAGGAAGAGAAAAGAGGGAAGGAAAGGAAAGAAGGGAAAGAAGGAAAAGAGGGAAAGAAGGAAAAGAGGGAAAGAAGGAAAAGAGGAAAAGAGGGAAAGAAGAAAAGAGGGAAAGAAAGAAAAAAAGACCACGGCGAGGGGACACATACCGTCGGCCGGTTGCCGAAGCCCGCATAGAAGGGCTGCGTGTCGGCCGGGAAGAGCTTGAGGATTTCCCCGAGGGCGGCCATCTTGAAGACGTGCGGCTTGCGCTCGATGACCTCGCGCGTGAAGGCCGCCAGCAGGCGGTCCGGCGCGCAAATCAGCGGCCCCGGAGGCAGCCGATGCATGCGCGGCTGAAGCGACCCGTCGGCGTCGCGCGGCGACGACACCAACATCAGCGTGGCCGAGTCCAGGTGCGTCGAGGGGGAGGCACTGGCGCCGGCGCCGGCGCCGGTGGCGTCGGCCGCCGCCGAGGTCGCCTGCCCCGGCGTGCCGATGGCCCGGGGAGCCGAGGCCGCCGGGCGCAGCGATCCGCTGGACCCGGACCGGGACAGGGCCCCGCCCGGGCCCGGGGCAGCCGCGGCCCCGGCCCCGGCCCCGGCCCCGGCCGCATGGGCACCCCCCCCGGCGGCCTCGCCGGCAATGGGGCCACCGCTGCCCGGGGGCGAGGGCGGCTGCAGGGGGCCGCCGCCAGCGGGGGCCAGACGCGGCGAGTCCGATGGCGTCCCGCCGCCAACCGGCGAGGCCGGGCCCCCGCCATTGGCCACCAGGGGCGAGGCGGCCCCGGAGGCCGGGGCCGAGCCGGCCGGCGACACCCCCGCCAGCCCGCTGGATGCCGGGGCCAAGGCCGCCGACAAGTGCGACTGGAAGAGCCCCGACGAGGAGGGCGAGGGCAGGGCATTCGGCGGGGGAGACTGCTTGACCGACCGGAGGAAGCCCCGCGTGGAGTTGGCCTGGCCGATGGCCCGACTGGTGACATACATCAGCCGGTACCCATTGGACGCGATGTTGCTGAAGAGGGTGGCCACGCCGGAGTGCGTCCAGTCACGCCCGACCGCCGTGAAGATGTGCCCCAGGGCATCGGACTTGGTGATGGTCCCGTCGATGTCACTGATGACAATCTTGTCCGTGTAGTCCCACAGGTAGATGGTGGCCGCGCAGCTGGCCCCCTGCCCCGGCGACTCGATGGTGAACTCGATGTGGTTGGGCCCATCCTTCAGGTCGAGGGCCGACTGCGGGCCCGGCGGGGGGGGGGGGGGGGGGG